AAAACTGAAAACTACATTTTAGAAATCAAAATAAGTCCATTATTACTAAGCATATTATTTTGGAATTGCTGAAGGTTTTTCCACACAATTTATTTGTTTATTGACAGAAAATGCCGGTCTTCTCTAGTTGACTGATACCAAAAGTAATTCTTAATTATTTTCACTTGGCTGTGCTATGCTGTATCATCTGTCAGAAAACCTTCTATATCTGTCTCAACTCATTGCATTGATTTGGCAGTCTTTATGCTTACGGTACATCAGTTTAAATTGACAATACTTATGTATACTTTGCTGGTGTTACTACTTCACCATGTAGGGTTTTATTTCTAAGCTAATTCTAAATTTGTTTAACAAAAATGTTAACTGTTTTCCCCCCTCATTTACAGGTACCAAAAATAAGTAATCTCAGTAGAAGCAAGTCACTTGGGGCCTTAACATCGCTGTCCACAGACACACTCCCCACGTACATCACAGATGCTGCGAGGAAGCGTTGCATGGCCATCAGGTGACTTGGTTTTTGTGGCATTAGACAATCGATTTATCCTCCGTATGGTTTCTACAAACTAAATAGTTGAATCCCCTGACATATATATTTTCACCTTCATAGAAAGTCAATGGAGACGAGGGATAGCAAGAATCAAGAGAGTGCGGACTGGTTGAGGAAGCACCAAATGAGGTCCCAGGCCATGAAGAAGGCAGTCACACTTCATGCAAAGTTGCTGGACCCACACAGCAGCTTGAAAGAAGTGCAAAATGAAAAACTACAGCACCATCGGTGAGTGCTGGTCAAGTGAGGCCGTTCATTCTCCAATTTTGCAAATCACAACAACCACACATGCCTGCCACAGTAGCTCAAACTATAATCTTCTCCTACATGAAGGGAAGCTGACCGACAAAGGATGAGAGAGTACATGAGGGAGTTACGGGATATAAAGACACGAGTCAGTGAACGCCCTTATTTGTTCGAACAGGTGAAACAGGTAAGTGACATGGTAAGCTGAAAATATTACATCATATTGTAAATGACATGCCCTTCCAACATTAACTTTGTGTTTTTACTGGCAGAAAAATGCAAAGGCTCACGCAGAGCAGACATACAGGAACAAGCTGAAGATAGCCGGCTTAAAAGAACAATTTGTTGAAGAAAATGGAGAAGCAGCTGAAGGAATGTCAACATCATCCAGATCGGAGGACGATACAGATGAGAATGAAATTCATAGCAGGTATGCAGAATGAGAATTTTTAGTTTTGTTCATCCACTATGTAATACCACTGTGTCCGGTAAAATTATGAATAGCACTGGTGCTGGAGAGCCAAGGACTTCATGTGGTTTGGTCATATTACATTACATAATTTTCTGAGCTTGCCCTGCCGCCTTTAGTGAAGAAAAGACAAATACTGTAGCCAAGTAAAAGTTCGATGTAATTACAATATAGCCATTTTCTAACCCAACATGTCTGATTTAGGGAAGAAAATGTAGACGACGGGGAGAAAATTGAAGATGTGGAAGAGAAGAGCGTGAAGTCCAAAGGGGAAGAAATGCCATGATCAAAAAGGTTCAGGCGGCACAGAGTTTCTTGTGGCCTCTCAGCTAGAAAACAACACTGTCCTCAAAAATGTCACAGCTAACTATCGGCACCAAGCGTTTGATAGTTGTGCAACTATAAATTATGAAATTACAAAACATCTGGACTCTACAATCACAAATGTTGGAGATTACAACTGAAAGAAAATAAAAGTTTATAGAACTGTATATTTTATAAGTAATTAATATTTTATATGCTTTAACCCAAATACACATATATGTATACAATCTGTGTGACATTTCAAGAGCAGATTAAGCTGAAAATAAAAAAGCTACTTTTGGTTTTATGACAACAATTTTGCTAAGGAATATGAACACTGTAATTTAGAGGATAATGAACACTTGGTTACCAGAATAAACAGTTGAAAAACAAAATGAGAACCCCAGTTAAGACCACTGTGTCTGTAACATTAATTTGCACTCTGCCCACACTAAATCAAGAAGCTTATGATATTTAAAAAAATATATACAGTATATATGCTTTTACAGTGAGATATTTTATCTTTGACTGCTCTTAGTTGTAATTTTCTTTAGCTGAGTTCTCAATCAAATACTTTTATATTTTTTAATTTAGCAGGTCCCATAAGGACACCAAGCGTCTGACATGGGTCTTTCTCAGATGTTTGGGTTAAAGTTCCCAGTTGTTTCCTCAGCCACACTGCCACCTAAATAAACAGTTCACAGAGACCAGTTTAGTGGTCTGCCCCAAGCCCATAGACCCACATCAAATACGCTTGTACACTTGTGCTTATACAGCTGACTGCCAGGAATTCGAGAGATCATTTTTACTTACAAGCCACATGGGAATGTCTAAATATGTATATAATCATAATCAAAATGTAATCATGGAGACAAGTACATATATACCGTGTGTACCTCTTGCAGGCCACTGTATAAGATAAGAAAACCTTTATTTGTCCAACAATGGGGAAATTGCAGTTTGTGTTGCGTATTGAAGTTATTGAAGGCAATGTTTGCATGAGTTCAGATCAAGAAATCATTCACATTCTTCTTAAGGTGAAACTATTGAAATTTGAAATGTAACATGCAGATAAGAGTTTGATCTCTTACATACAATTACAATACACATTTCTGCTCCCACACTAATGTTCTTCTTTACATGGTGACTCTAACAGTACAACTGTCCGTCTATTAAAATAAGAATATGATTACATTTGCATAATTAAAAAGATAAGAAAAGTAAGAAAGCCAAACTGTTATTACGTAGTACTAATAGATGTAATAAATAGTCCTTTTCTTGAGATCTCAAACATCACATGACAAAGCTTCAAGGGCTCCATCCTGTCAGGTTGTCATGGGAACCGTGTATCCCTCCCCACTCTGCTTTGTAGTCCCTCAGGAGAGCGCTGTGCACCTCTGATTCCCCGGTGCACGGCTGAAAACAAAACCAATCTCTCTCAACCTGTTAGATAATATCCGAGTGAGAACCTGCATCCTGTGAAATGCATGAGGGAGCAGGCGCCTGTGACAAGTCTTTAAACAAACTGTAGTGCTTCCTTGAATGTGTGTGGAAGCTGAGAAAGGGAACAAACACATCTCATTTAGATTAATGAGAGGCTGTGCACTTGGGCACCGAATGTTATGATCACACTGTTTGAGGAGTGGCTCTACTTAGCAGATGAACAATATAATTTCACCAAGGTGGTGCGTTCAGGTCTTTTATTATTCCAGCCGCTGAACGATATAAAAATTCCCACACATTTAATTCTGTAAATGCAAGGGTTGCAAATGTAGGCAGTTGAGGACACACCCTAGAATAGATGATATAGGCCTCAAATGGACTTCACTGTCACAATGTCAGCAAGTTCCTAGTCTCACATTTTCCTAGTCTGCATTTTTTTTCCTGCCATGTACTAACTATTCCGTCATTTAAGAGCCTGCAAGTCCCACCTGCCCCGCAATGACCCCTGTTTTGCTGCCATTTCCCTCGCCCACCTGCACACCTGTTCCCACTTCCCCATCAGCCCAGTAACATATTTACCGGCCAGTTCCATTTATTCCCCCGTCTGCCTCAATTTCCCAACCATTTTCTCAGCCTTTTGCCTGTAACGACCCCTCTGTCTGCCTTATGGACTCCTGCTCTCCAGCCTATTGGAGAAGTTGGCCTCATCTCTCTTGCATGCATGGTTTTTACATTTTCGACCTTTAGAAGACTTTTGATTTTACTTGTTTGTCTTGCTGTTGGGTTCAAACCTGTTTTTACTGGGCAAAATTGCAGCAATGGCACTGTATGAAATGCTTATGTTGTGTTTTCTGTTTTTCCTTTTCTCTCTATTTTAATTGTTAATTTTTATTCTCTTGATTATAAAGTGCAAAGGCCATGTGTTTTTGTTAAGTATAGTGTATGTTGTGTATGCATGTATAGTCTCCGTATATTTTAGTCCTCGGTTCACCTGCAGGAGGAGCTGTGGCTCGCTGCAGCCTCTCTGGAGCAGAAGAGAGAGATCCCTCTTTTTCTCCTTCAGTGGCATGAATAATATCCCCAGTGCTGGAGAGAGAGCTTATCAAGAGGCAAACGGGAAGGGGAGAGAGAGATAGCAGCCAGTGTGACAGATAAGAGCGTGGCAGAACTTGTCTCCCTGACTGCACCGTGGGCCGGGGAAAGAGAGAGCAAGTGCACCAGAGTGTCAGGCAAGGCTGCTGCCTGCATACACACAAACACACTCTCTCTCTCTTACACACACACACACACACACACACACACAAAGATTGGTTTACTACATGCAAACAGCAGACGGCTCATAGCGATTAGATGACGCATCAACCTCTTTCAGCCTGGAAGTGAACATGCTTGGCCTTGTCCTCCTGTCACTTTCACACACTCACACACTCACACACTCACTCACACACACTCACACACACACACACTCACACACACACACACATCCTGCCTGGAAATGTTTAACTGTCATAACCTTGGTTTTACTTTCCTCTGTGCTGTTTTGCTTCTGTTGCACAGAACTGATCCATGAAGTTATTGTTACAGTTTTTTCCAATTGCTAAAACACAATTTTGCAAACTAGGCTGGTTTTATCAAAATACTTAACAC